GACCCCCCACTAGCGCCACCACCACCGCTACCACCACCACCCCCCCCGCCCGCCCCGCCCCGCCACCGCCACCCCGCCCAGCCCGCCCACCCACCACCACCGCCACCGACGCCAACACCCACCACGCCACGCACGGACGCGAGCGCACGCACGCACGCACGCACACACGCGCACGCACGCGCACCAAAAACTGATCCGCCACAAACGCCACTTCCACCGCGCTTAGCGTGTACAGGGATGGCGCCTGGGCGGCGGCTCCAGGGCCCCACTAGCGGAGCCCCGCACGGGGCTTGTCTGTCTGTCTGTCTGTCTGTCACTCTCTCTCTCTCTCTCTGTCTGTCTCTATCTCTGTCTCTGTCTGTCTCTCTCTCTCTCTCTCTCTCTCTCTCGCGCGCGTGCATGCCCAACTGGGTCGTCGACGAACGCCGTGCTGCAGGGGGCGCGCAACTCACTGACCCAGTTCACCCAGGTCCCTATCCTATTCCACGAAACAAGGAACGCCACTTCCACCGCGCTTAGCGTGTACAGGGATGGCGCCTGCGCGGCTGCTCATGGGACTCCACTAGCGGAGCCCCACTAGGGACTCAATTTGTGGACCATCGTTCGATGACCGCGAACTGTGAACTGCTACGCGCCTGGCCCATTCAAGAAAAAACTGTGCCGCTTGTTTGTTTCGTTTGTTGGCGTCGCGTTCATGGCGGGCGCAATGGAGCGCGTTGGAATGCGCGCGCGTACACCGCGGGCGCAGGAAGCACGCGCCCAATTGCGGCATCGTCCAACGCGAAATTCGCCTGGGAGCGGCCGAACTCGCACCAAATTGCGCCGCGCTTGGAAATGATCAGAATCGCAGACGCGCGAGCACTGCGACCGCGCGCGCCCTCACGCAAACCAACATTGGTCATCGACAAATACCATGCTGCAGGGGAAGCAGCTCAACAATTCGACACCGAATTCTCCCCCCCACCCCCCCCGCCCCACGCACACACACACACACACACCACCCAAGCAAGCCCCCAGCCCATCGCAAGCACAACTTGGCGCCTGGGCGGCTGCTCCTGCGAGTCCACTAGCGGAGCATCCAACGGGGGCTCGAATCGTCGATTCTCGCGCGATGGCCGCGAGGCGTCAAACTGCGCCCGGGCCTAGAAAAAAAAAGCGGCTGCGCCGCTTCTTTTTTTTTGGTGTGGTCTTCATGGTGGTGGTTGCGGGGGGGGGGGGAGGTGGGGGGCGGCTGCGCCGCTTCTCTCTCTCTAGCGCTCTCTCTCTCTCTCTCTCTCTCTCTCTCTTTCATGGTGGGGGTTAAGGGGGAGGCACTGTTTTTGATGACGGTTGCGGTCTGGGGCCGCGCTCCGAAAAAAACGAACTTGGCAGGAAACCACTGCAGCCCAAAAAAAGTCATGCCGACCTTGATTCAGCT